CCTGTGAGGGTCCGGAGTTGGGCCCTTATCGGGATGCCCGGGTGCTTCCGATCCCGTGGTGCTCGTCCACTATCTGGGTGTCGTCAAAGAAGGAGTTTGTTTATAGGGTGCCGGATAGGATGTCTCAGCCGAGGCTACTGCCTGATGGCCGGCTGGACGCCGACCTGTGGGTGGTTTGGGAAGCGTACCGCTTGCGCTTTCCGTTCCGTAAGTTTCCGGAGAAGTATTAGTTCCCGTCTTGCGCACCCCGCTCCGCCGTGCCTGGATCAGCTGCCTCTGTGACCATGACGCCCCGCCCCCCGATGCGGGGAGTCTCCCTCTAACGTTCGCCTCTGTTTTCGTCGCCACTCCTCTCTCTCCGGCCCATCACATCTACCGCTTTTGACTTTCTTCTCCTCCTCACCATCCACGCGTCTCCTTACATCTGTCCTGGTGCAGTCATCGGGAGGGTTACCCCTTCATGCAAACTGCACCTATTCTCAAGAAGAGAAGAATGCAATTACACAATGAACTTTATTTCATTTGTTGCATTTATGCTATGAATCTGTCGATTTTTTCCCTTAGAATTTTTTGTTAAATTTAATAAAAAAATTCTCTGTCCATTTTTCTCCATTTCTCGTTTACGAATTTACACGATAACCGATGGGTCTCGTCCCCCAAGGCTTTGGAAACCAAGTGGTGCTCTGTAATAAGAAAGGATTAGAATGCAGTTACCAACATCCTAAAAAATGTTTAAATATGCTTAGGAAAGGTGAGTGTCGATTTGGATCAATATGTAGGTTTTTCCATCCTGACATGTGCCAAACCTCACTGGAGGACAGAAAATGCTATGACCTCAGCTGCCCACACTTTCACATGAAAGGCACGGAACACGACATAAAGAGCGGTAAGCAGGATAATGAATTTGGAGGAAACTCTATAAATTTTTTATACCAGACCGAAAGAGAATTCAAAAGGAGGAGCATGGAGAGTGTATGGAACTGGATGCCAGATCCACTTGCATTCCAGAATTACAGATACAATTACCCACCGAAAGGGAACTACAACTACGACAGACAACTGCCCTACAACAATCAGTACTGGTCAGAACAAACTCATTATGTCCACGAATAATGGGCTTGCCGAAAAAGTCTCCCATTCAAAATATCACTAATAGAGTAACCTCATTCATCTTTGCCAACATACAAGGACTGAAAACAAGAACAAACAACAAAGTACAGTTCATAAATGGCCTCCTCACGGAGTCAAATGCAGTATTTGGAGCTTTCACAGAAACCCATGCAGGAGAATTGTTGGACAGTGAGATCTGGATTCCAGGATATAACCTATACATGTGTGATAGGAAAATTAGGTCACATGGAGGAGTGGGTCTGTATATTAGGGAAGACCTTGTATGCTCGGAGCTCCTAAACGTTACAAATGAGGTGGTAGAGGTACTGGGATTAAAAATAGAGAAAATAAATTTAGTGATTATTCTTATATACAAACCGCCTGATGCAACGGCTGAGGAATTCACAGAACAGATAAACAAAATAGAGAATAGCCTTGATAATTTGGAGAACCCGATACCTGATATTATCTTCCTAGGTGACTTCAAGTTGCCTAGTCTCAGGTGGAAAATAGCAAACAATAATATTATACCAGGAAATCTATCAAGACCTAACCAACCACAGATTAGAGAACTACTTAGATTCTGTGACAAATTTTCACTCAATCAGCAGATATCGGAGCCAACGAGAAATAACAATATTTTAGATCTGGTCTTTACGAACAATGAAGACATTATCAGAGACAATACGATATCAGATACCACATACTCAGATCACAAGCTCATTGAAGTGCAAACGACCATCAATACTCAGAATAGACCTAAAACGTTGATAAAGCGAGAGGGGCTATTCAGTAAATTAAATTTTAATAACAAAAGGATAGACTGGGAGATAATAAACAGGGAACTTACAAACATTCCATGGGAAACTGTTCTAAGTAATACAAGTCCTACAGAAGGAATAGAAAAACTGACTTTGGAAGCGTATCAAGTCTGTCTGAAACATGTTCCTTTGAGGAAAGCCAGAAAGAGAACGCAGACGACACTATAAACGCAGGAAAAAATAACGGAACTGCTTATGCAGACACGAATTTCCCGTCAAAGAAGGAATAATTTAAATAGGAAAATTGAAGAAATCGAGCGGAAATTGAAACACTCATATGAAACTGAAGAAAAGCAGTTAGAACAGAAAGCAATTCAGGAAATAAAGAAAAATAAAAAATATTTCTTCACATATGCGAAATCTAAAGCAAAAACCACTGCCAGTATTGGACCTATTCGTACAAGTGAAGGTTCATACACGGAGGATGACAAAGAAATTAGTGAAATCCTAAAAAAGCAGTATGAGGACATGTTTAGCACTCCAATAAACAACATGAAAGTGGAAGATCCAGACAATTTCTTTATGCGGGATACTGCTATAATTAATAGTGAGCAAGTTCCCTAGAGTTTAAAGTTTGCTTGTACAGTATCTCAGAATTGAAAGTTAAAATGAATTAACTCTGGCATATATTTTGCAAGGTCTTTGGATTTAGTGTTTGCTTAGCCGCTAGGGTTAAGAGTTTGCCTTAACTGGAGTGAGGCAGGACGAAGTGCATTACCAAGGGGGGAATAACAAATGTGTTCTGAAGCTCTTAGAATAGGGCTCTAGGGAAGGGCAGGTTTGGAAAATACAGTTGTATATAAGTGGAATTGGTTGCTTGCTATCATTATTGAGATTTTTATTATCCTTATTGAACAATAAGATTGTTTGTTGACCAGACCACACACTAGAAGATAAAGAGACGAAGACGTGTCGTCGTCGATCGTCAATATCGACGATTGTCGTCGATTGATCGTCGATTGAACAATAAGATTGTTTGTTGACTATACCACACACTAGAAGATGAAGGGACGACGACGATGTTTCGTCGTCGATCGACTTGAGAATGGTCCAGGACGGACCGAAACGTCGTCGTCCCTTCATCTTCTAGTGTATGGTCTGGTCAACATACTTCAGCCACGTTATTGTGACTCATCGCCTGCAATAAGATTGCTATTGTTCTAAAGTTATTATTGAGACAGTAGAGACAGTGTTAAGTAACAGTCAGCTTGATTTTAGAAAGAGAAGACGCTTATCAGATGTTGCAACAACAGTTGACCGCAAATTTGAGCCAGACTGTGGAGAGGATACATATGTGTCGTGGCCTTGTATATTGCTGGAGTATTTGAGATGGAATGGCATATCGGACTTTTGTGAAGGCTTAAGAAACTTTTAATTTGTTGGGAGGTTTCTGTACCTCACTTAGAACTACTTAAATCCCTAAGCCTTCCAGTTTGAGGTAAGCAATGGGATGATATCTGTTTCAATGACATACTTAAGCTAATTCCACGAGCTGGTGTCTCGGCAGTTGATTGTACACAGATTTTTTATACAAGAATGAAGAGGTAGATCACATCAATAAAACTCATGAAATAATTTTATTTTCTGGACAATTGTAGGACTTTATTGTTGCCCCAGAGAAGACCCAGCTGATAGCTATCTCACCAGCCTGTCCTCCTAAGGTTACCCAACGTCAAGAAACTGTCGTACTAAAGTGCCCCGTATCCTAACCTATCAGAGGACCCAAAAACAGAAAACTGGACAGTATGTCAATCTCACAGGCCGCTACTGTTTTCTAGGACGACAATTTTGGCCTTAGGTAGAGTATACGTCGAAATACAGCGTTTTATTACGAGGACGGGTTGATTCCACAGTTACCAAATAATCGTTCTGATACAAAACCAAACAAGAAAATATTTACAACCAAACATTACATTAGGATTGGAAACTGATGAAATATAGCTCAATGTAGTAGGCTATCTGCATTGAATCATTCTACTTAAGTTCTAATTAAAAGATTGCTTTCTAAAGTACAAGTAAAATTCAGAAATCTAGTGGAGGAAGGGAACTTTGTCCAGTTTCCTTGCACATGAACTTGCACGTTGGTGAGTGTGGGTGGTGACTGTTGCACGGGTTCAGGGAAGGCACCAATGAAACCAAAGGAATGTAATAACACAGAGTTTTTTTTGTCGGCAGATGAAAATAATTTAAAAATGCACAACTCTCCAACACCAGGCTCTCTCATTCTTCGTCTGAGATAGATATATATATAGATATATATATATGCATGCATGCGAACACGCTTGAATGGTCCCTAAACATATATGCAACTGAAGACTCCACACCTCAGAAGTGATTCGAACCCAGACAGCCAGGAGCACTATGCAACTGGCGTACATGGTACCTTAATCACTTGACCAACCGTGACCGTACAAAAGATGTTGGTAGCCGAAGCTATATTCCTAACATCCCGACGGCACTTGGTGGTAATCTTGGGCATAGTTATTTCATCGAATTAAGTCCTCACTTTGTGCCCCACAAAGTGAGGCCTCATGCCTTTTACGTACGTCAGACAAAATCCTTGCCCTTAGACTGGTGGGTAGAGCCACGGCCTCTCTTCTTGCAAGGTTGGCGTTCAATCCCCGATGATTGAAACGGTTGGGCACCGTTCTCTGACTTTGTTCTAATATCCCAGTTCATAGTCTGTGTTCATAACCCTTCCTACTGTTATGTGGTCATAATGGGTATGAACTTTATCCTGGTAAAGTTCCTTATCTCTGTAAAGGGAGGAGTGGAAGCCCAGTTGATTAAAGGGACCTCCCATAAGTTGAACACAAACTTAATCATTGTCACAAAAACAACTCTTCCTACGCTTGCAAACCCTAAAACGTTATAGATTCGCTTACAAAGTATTATTACAACTGAACAAGTTACATCAAACAGTAATATTCCGGAACAGCAGCGCCAGTAACCCAAAGGCGAGCCAGACCCTTTCTGGCGCATTATCATCTTGTCATAATAACTTGTGAACAAACAAAGACATTATACTTTAACTTGGTAACATAATCAGGATGAGAAAAAAGACCAAAGTTTTCAAATTGCATTTTATAGAAAGAGAAACTTCACTTATAACTGTATATAAACATTATTAAGTGACAGAATCTTGCAGCCCGATATTAAGAGTAAATGTCTAACTTTATTGAACAAAAATATTTAAACTTTCACATTAAATTGCTGACTATATAACGAAAACAAGTGCAACATGAATGCGCTCTCCTCTAATATGATGCTGACATGTGCATTTACACTTTAGATTAGGTTAGTTAATGTTAGGTTAGGTTAGGGCACTTAAACAGTACTTTTTCAGAAGCACACAGGCTGGAGGCTGCACTTGATTATATGTGCTAATGAGGGATATGTACCATTACTACACATCACCCCATTAACATGTATTCTAAGAGTTCAACACTCCATGGGCCTGCAGACTAATACTACAGAAACTCATATGTATATATACTAATAGTACAGCACCTTATAGATCTGTATCCTAATATTACAGCATCTTATGGACTTGTATCCTAATACTACAGCACCTTATGGGCTTGTATCCTAATATTACAATACCTCTTTGGACTCCTTCCTAATATTACAGCACCTCATGTGTTTGTATCTTAATATTACAGCATTGCATTGGCATGAATCCCAATATTACAGCACCTTATGGGTCTGTATCTTAATATTACAGCATTGAATTGGCTTGTATCCAATTATTACAGCACCTTATTGGCTTGTATCCCAATATTACAGCACCTTACGGGTCTTTAGTCTAATATTACAGGGGCTTGTATCTAAATATTACAGCATCTCTTCGGTCTTCACACTTGCGAGCTTCCCAACGCCATGTGGTCCGTCAATAGCTCATCCGTCTCTGCTTCAAAGGAAACAGAGAATTAGCATAAATGAATTTAAGTCCGAGCGGAAAACTAATGCAAGTGGAGCACCCCCAGAGCTCTGACCTGGGACCTCTTTTGTTTACTACATGCATACACGCGCGCGCGTACACACACACACACACACGGGCCGTGTGTGTAATATATATATATATATATATATATATATATATATATATATATATATATATATATATATATATATATATATATATATATATATGTCGTACCTAGTAGCCAGAATGCACTTCTCGGCCTACTATGCATGCCCGATTTGCCTAATAAGCCAAGTGTTCCTGAATTAATATATTTTCTCTAATTTTTTTCTTATGAAATGATAAAGCTACCCATTTCATTATGAATGAGGTCAATTTTTTTATTGGAGTTAACGTAGATATATGACTGAACCTAACCAACCCTACCTAACCTAATCTAACCTATCTTTATAGTTTAGGTTAGGTTAGGTAGCCAAAAAAGTTAGGTTAGGTAGTCGAAAAACAATTAATCCATGAAAACTTGGCTTATTAGGCAAATTGGGCCTTGCATAGTAGGCTGAGAAATGCGTTCTGGCTACTAGGTACGACATATATATATATATATGTCTATCTTTCGCTTGAAACAACCAAGCGAGCCTACGTTTATTGCGTTGCCTAGTCATTTCTTTCATAAGTCATCTACCCTATTTCCAGACCATTATATACCGTTATGTATATCACCCTTTAAGATTTCTAGTTAATGAATTTCTAGATTTGTTATACTCTTTGTGTTTCTAGATAATGCAATTAATGCTTTCTCAATCTCTCTTCGTAAGCGAGGTATCTAATTCCGAAGATTAATTTTATCAGTCTTATCTCCACGTACTAAAGTGAATTTATGTCTATTCTATAGACCGAAACTTAATTTTATGTTCTGAATGGGACATAATAAGGATAAGATAAAGCTGAAAAGAAATATTAAATGGCTTTCTGCTTTCAGATATTAATCCTATTATATTATTATACTTATTTTTAATTTTCATTACAATAAAGTGTTTATAATTGGCATGAAAATTAATTTAAAATTACTCTGCAACACATTTTGATGATCTTTGCATTAGACATGAACAAATGTGTAATATGATTTAAGCTCTTTGCAACGTTAACAATGCATTTAACTGTAAATGAAAAGTCAGCAAATATAATGAGTGATTCCAATTCTTGGGAATTCCAAGAACCAATCTTAATTTAGTCCTCTGTATAGTGTTAGTAATTTTAATTGAAAACAATAACATTACAAGCAACACTAAGAGATTGAAAACTAAGGACGTGTGTTTTTTTTAAGTCTTAAATGGCTGACAATGTGAAAACAAAAATTCATGACAGGTAATTCTTCCAGTTTAAAGGTGAAATAATGGCGTAGTTAGACGTGGACACTCATGGAGCCTCACCAGGAAGAAGTGGTGATTTTAATTGTGGAAGAAGTGCTGAATTGGCTTCAGTCCCTAACATCCCGGATTAAAGATCAAGTCGATGGGATTCGTACAGGCTGTAAGAAAATATTAATTTGATTAATTAATATAATATTCCGACTAAGAGGACTATTTTGAATGATTATGCTAAGTATCATCTGAGTTCATCTTCCAAAGTGACTGGTTATGCAAGAAAGACCTGAGTTAGCCTGTTAGTTTGACTGATTATGATAAGATAAATCTAAATTCATCTGTTGTTTACCTAGAGTTATGGAAGGGAAACCTGAATTTGTTTGTTAGTTTGACTGGTTATTATATAATATTATACATAATCCAAACAGTTAAATATTTAAGTACAAGTTTACCAGTAAGAATGAATAATTAAATCACATTCATTACATACTCGACTTTTCAAGAAAGTGCAAAGACGAACCTACAATATAAAACATCCATAAAGAAGTAACCACATAATGAAATACATTCCTAGTAGCTATGTTATTAACACTTGAGATAAGTTGTACTATACTGACGGTTGGGTGTCGTTACGACCTCCTTAGGCAGGTCCTCACAATGTTCCTTCTCCCGGTCACACTCTGTTGACACAAGAGACCTGATCAGTCCACCTCTGTTGTCAGGTGTCAACCTCATTAATATTTAACGAAAAAAGCACTTGGATTATATATATATGTTCCGGTGAACTAAAGGCAATACAATTATTATCATTATTATTATTATCAGTGCTAGTAGTAGTATAATTATTATCATTCATCATGCACGATATAATTATCATTTAACTATTCCAGTAATGATTTAAACAAGTAATAATAATTCATTATACAAATCAACTGTGCCCTAAGTAAAGGCTCCATCACGTGTCTTAACTCACCCACAACCATAGTCTCAATGAAGACTCGCTCCTGAGCCATGACCTTCACCTCACCCAGCCACTTCGCAGTGTCCTTCTCCGGGTCTGGCGAGCCTTTGCTGATCATACACAGGTCAAAGGCGCACGAATCTGGCGGAAGAGAGGGAGGAGAAAGGTGGTATTGACTCTATGGTCACTGCTCACATTATCTCTATACCGAATATTCATTTTTATGGCATATAATTCGTATTTTTTTGTTTCTCTAGAGGATGTATTTTAATTAAGTTCTGTCGATCGCATCATCAGCTTCTATTCCTTAAACTCTGTTTCTGTGTTTATCTTTCTGTTTCTATATTCCCACTCTATGTTTTAATTTTAATTCTCTTTTCCCTGGGGAAAGTCTTATCCACAAGTCTTGCTGAGCTCCCCGGAGGCACTCTGGTCATCCCTCTGATGGTATTTTTTACCCACAAGCACCTGGCTGACCTCCATGGAGGGACCCTGACTATTCCCTGGTGGTAGTCTTACCCACAAGCACCTGGCTGACCTCCATGGAGGGACTCTGACTATTCCGTGGTGGTAGTCTTACCCACAAGCACCTGGCTGAGCTCCCCAGAGGCACCCTGGCCATTGGATTTTGCCCCACCAACAGTCTGCTGGCACAGTGCCAACATTCTCTTCCATGAAACATTGTCCTGCTGGCATTGTTTGAGCGTTGCTTGAGACTCCTGTAGATAAAATAGAAAAAATCCTGTTATTCTTTGACAACTTATTAAAGAAGCAACTTCCAACATAATAAAGACAGTGGACCTTCCACAGAAATCCTGTAATATTTGTTTGTGGAGTTTTAATAGTATTACTGATTTTTTGTTTAATCTAAGCTTAATTAAGGATACAGAATAATATATATAATGATAAGGGATTAAATAAATATTCAACAAAAGGTATTCAAACTAGAAAAAATAAAATATTTTATTATACCGGTAGTTCTAATTAAATATTCTTTTAATATAGTTCCCAATAAAATTTTGTATATAATAAAAGGTGTTGGTTAATTTCTCATTTGCAGTGCTTTATTGGAACACAGAGAAGAAAACTAATTTCTGTTATCTTTCTTTAGTGCAAATAAATGCTTGATGCTGCTCAAAATTAATTAGTTGCAATATCCGCATATGATTTGAAATTCCAAAATGTATAAATTACCGACAGTATATAGTTTATAAAGAATAAATTTAAGGATTAAAGCATATCCATTTATCCTATTGATTTATGACAGGATATAAATCCTAGTTATCATTACAATGGCTCACCATTGTTGGGAGACAAGAAGCCGAATAGGGTTATCGAGGACCCCTCCCCCAAACCCATCCTCCCCATGTCCCCCCCCCCCAAACCCATCCTCCCCATACGACAAGGACTGACGGGTCAACAGGATTCAACCCACGACAGTTTCGTTGTCACTCAGCAGACAACATTCTAACTTACCTTGTTGATGGATCTCCTGCGTCTCCCGGCGGCTCTGCAGGCGGGGTTGGCCTGGTCCGGTGTCTGCAGGCATAATATTGCGGTTAGTTTTGCTCTACCCCTGTAGTGTCTGTCAGATGTTGAACACAACACCCCCATTATGTGTCAGTGTGAGGTTCGACCCTCAGGAGCGCTCTATGGTGTAAAATGGCACATTTGCAGGACAATTTTCGCCACTCACTGCTCCTAAAATTACACTAAGACGTGATTTGCTCACATTACACTGTGTATTACCTTCCAGGACTCGGCGAACACAGCAGGGGCGCTGGACGTAGGGTTATACGGCACGTTGTTCCTAGTAGTGAAGTCGTTGCCAGTGTTCTTGTCCGGAATACCACACAAGCCGCGAAGCTCAGGATGTAGATTAGGGTTGGCCCACACGTCGAAGCGATTCTTGCAGTGCTGGAGCTGAAAAGGCCCCCCAAAGGGTCCCCTAGGTAATAATCTACTCTCATTTGTTAAATATAGATGTGACCCTTATCGAGATAGAGGTTCGGGTGCATCTACCAGTCATGGAGACATGGCGAGAGTTGTGGAGACTGGTATAACAATCTGACAGTCTAAAGCTATCTTTGGCAAGCACCTTCATATTACAACTTTGCAGCAATTTAAAGAAATACTATACCACTCAAGTCAAGATTGAAACCAGAAGACGCGACCAGGCCATTAGCATTACATGAGAATGAGAAGGAGCCATAAGAAGACGACACCGCGAACACTGTTTATGTAGACCAGACGTAAATCTGTGTATTTATGAATTTATGTTTGTAGGTTAGGTTAGCATTTTAAAAGCACCCTTCTGGGGTTGATTGTTCTATAAATCACTGAACTATATGTTTAACAGATCTCTAACCCTGTACATGGAAGATAGAAGAAAATGTATATATATGCTGGCTAGCATTGTAATTGTGGCCACGACTGCGGTAGAAAATAATAACAAAGAAACTATACATGTACGATAAGTAGCAAAATTATTGTATAAAAATGTATTATTTTAATTTAAATTTAACTAAAAATAATGCAGCCTAAGTGGATTTACCGCAAGATCTTCAGAGATCAGCCCCATGAGGCACTCTCCCTGTCGTTAAACTTACCATAAAACCTCCATACACCAGCATCTTTAGGCACTCTGCCTAGCCTCAGGCTCACGTTACGATTCTGAGAGCCCAGCCCCCTGAGACATTCTCCCTGGCGCCAGACTTACCAAAAGACCTTGAGAGCCCCCTGAGACATTCTCCCTGGCGCCAGACTTACCACAAGACCTTGAGAGCCCAGAATCCTGAGACATTCTCCCTGGCGCCAGTCTTACCAAAAGACCTTGAGAGCCCCCTGAGACATTCTCCCTGGCGCCAGACTTACCACAAGACCTTGAGAGCCCAGAATTCTGAGACATTCTCCCTGGCGCCAGACAAGGACTTTGTGCTTGACTCCTCCGGCAGTCACCCTCTGGGCGTAGGGACCCGCTGGCACCTCAATCTCTCTACCGTTTGCACGAATCTGCAGAACACAAAATTGTTTCACAAATATACACAAATTAATCACGGAGGGAGAACAGGAATAAATATCAGAGAATTAAATAAAATTGTGCCAAATAGTAAATGCAAAAAATGAAGTACATTCAGAAACAATTTAGACTGAACTTTATTAAAATAATCCAGGCCTAATAATTGTATCTATTTGTAATCACAAACCCTCAATAAATGAGAAGGAAGGCATACATCTAGGAAATCAACAACAGCAGAACAAAATGTTGTTAAACACTCTACGGACAATCAAACCCGCATTTCATACTTAATGTGAGTTGTTTGTGGTCGCAACAGTAGCCAATTATACTAAAGTAGGGCATGAGGGTCAACTCACACCCACCCTACGACACTATACAATCACAACTCACCATGGAAAGCTATTATTTTGATTTAGACATGAATATTTCTCCGGGATTTTTCGAACAAAATCGTTAATATATTATAGTAAACCATCAAAAAATCGAAGACCATCTCTGTACTTAACACTTTTTATAAATACATTTGTAAGCAATGATGCCACACATCTCCAAAGTTCTTCCAATTAATATTTTTGTATGTATAATAGCAAGATTTATCTTTTTATAACCTTTTATATGTATGTTTATCTTTATCTTTATATGTAAGAGTAACCGCAGTAATGTAAAATCCTGGTAATTAATAAGGATTTATGAGCAAAAATCAATTCTCACAAGTTTCTATGGTAAAAAAATGGAAATTGATGTAAGACGCATTGGGCTTGGAAACCCCCTTAAACTTCAGCTGATGTTGACCTTCTTCAAAGAATTAATATTGATATGTTTGTTTTATTTGAAGTGATATGTAATGACCGAGTGGAGAAGACTCTTGATTGGTCCAGAGATCTCTTGGAAATACCCAAACAATTTCATATGCACATGTGATAATTTGTTTATCTGTACATTCTCTCTATTTATGAACATAATAATTATATATAATAAGAGAACATAATTCTCTTTATATTATGTTCGGAAATTAAAGCAAAGTAGTTGAAACTGTGTCTTACAAAATACTACCTGTACAGGTAGAGGTGCATGGTTAGGGAGGTTATCATCAATACTATACAGGGAGGTTATCATCAATACTATACAGGGAGGTTATCATCAATACTATACAGGGAGGTTATCATCAATACTATACAGGGAGGTTATCATCAATACTATACAGGGAGGTTATCATCAATACTATACCAACAGCACTATAAAATGGACATTAATTATATAGGAAGCGAACAGAGAAAGATGTCAAAGTTAATTCCGGGCAACAAAAGCCTCTAGTTCAAGGAAGAATAAACAAAATAATTTTACATTCTACAGATAAGCGAAGATTGAAGACGTACATGACAGAAATATGTTAGTGAAGGAAAGAGTATAACAAGGGGAGATATTAAAAGGGGGCTAAATATATCAACACAAAATAGGACAGAAAAAACTGGATACGTTTAGAAAAGATCTGGATAAATACTGGTCTTGAGATAGGGTTGTAAATTTATTGAACACATTGTTAGGTGACAAAGAACTTGATGTCACTGCATTATTATTAGCGTAGGTTAGACAAATATAAGTGTTGATGGATGCTAATAGTAGATGCCTCGCATGGGCCTATTGGCCTTCAGTAAGTTCCTGTATTCTTATTTTCTAGTACCTACAAAACACCTTTAATTGTTATTGATTTATCTATTTATCTATTCACAGTCCTGCTTGTATGTTTGCTTACACACGTGTAAAACCATTAGTATATAAACATACATATCACTGCGTATCCGGCCATGAGTCTGGCCCTTCTTTCTTCATAATCACATGTTTCGTGCTCTGGAAATGTCAACTCACCTTGAAAATGCCTGGAGAAGCGAGTCCCCATTCTCCTATCTCAATCTGAAGCTCCCGGTTGTCTTTGAAGGTGGTCTTTTGGACGCAAGAGGGCATGTTGTAGCAGCGCCTGGCGAAGGTCTCTCTTTGAGTAAATCGTTCTCAACACTTCAATGCGTTCATATATTTTTCACCCACTCTGCATTTTGTTTTAGTGTAGCTATGTATAAGGAAATATATAATACTGAACTATGCCTCGAGAGGACTGCTTCGCAAAGAAACTCACTGGAACTGTGCGAAGATGCCGTAATCGGGATTGAGGCTGTTCCCTTTCTGGGAGATGGCGTATTTGCAGACTCCGTGGTAGTCGAACCTGTGACGGTCGTAGTTCCAGAAGTGGGGGTCGTTGGCGACCTCGCACCGCGGACCTGCGGTGGGAAATTCACTCTGAACTTCAAGTAAATACTTTCCCCTGCCACTATATTGTTCTCACTCCCTATTGCTGCATTAAGAGGGAAACACAAATGCTAGAAAGTAAGCTTCCTGCTTTCTTGTTATTCAAAATTCTTCTCTAACTTCGTTCCTTCACTCATAGCTCATCTCCACTTGCTATTCTGATCTTTGACATGAACTACTTTGACCTTGCTCCCCTTACTCATAACCGCTCTTCAGCTGACTCAAAACACATCTACACCTACCTCCCGTTACTCACAATCCATTTCGGAACTAACCAACCCATTTTCACTTGCCTCTTGATGCATACATTCACTCTCCACCCACCTCTTGGTGCATGTAATAACTCTCCACTTGCCTCCAAGAATTCACAAACCCCCAACACATGTTTAAAGGTTCTCTAACACTCTACCTATTGTGGCTCAACACTATTATCCACCTGCCTCTCAGTGCTCACAACCGTAGAAAACTTGAATCATGATATGCTCACCCTTCACCAAATGTATTACAGTAGGCACGGTACTACAACACAAAACTAACCACAGAGTACTCAACCCACCATCCAGTACTCACAACAGGACATTCAGTACTCACAATGTCTCTCAATCTCTCCCGTGGGCTTCCAGTTGCCGCCCTCACAAGTCATCTTGGTGCAGCCAGCAGGATATACTAGGCCAGGCAGGTAGATGTTCCCTCGGAACTCACAACCTGCGGAAGATCACAACCACTCAGAGTCTGGGTAAGATCACAACCACTCAGAGCCTGGGTAAGATCACAACCACTCTTATCCGGAGAAGGATCGCAGAGAGAGAGAGAGACAGAGACAGAGAGAGAGAGAGAGAGAGAGAGAGAGAGAGAGAGAGAGAGAGAGAGAGAGACAGAGAGAGAGAGAGGGAGAGAGACAGAGAGAGAGAAAGAGAGAGAGAGAGAGAGAGAGCGCTAGCTACTAGCTAGCTAGCTAGCTTATTAGCTTATTACACTTAACAAATCAACTTACAGCCAGAAGCCTTCTCGTCGCCGACAAACTGGGGCACAGCAGAGCCTCTGTCGCAGACAATCCTCATACACTTGTAAGGGAGGCTGGCCAACACGGTGCCGTGAGGGACAAACTGGCCGCCTTGGATGCATGGTAATAGCCCCAGACAATGATCTAAATCTGTGGAGTATAAATATGTGTGTGGGCATTACACCAACCAATTATTAATTTGAGTATTTGTTGAATAATTATAACAATAGCGTCTCTTTTAATACCTCCGTGTATATAAAATAATAATTAATTCATTGTGTCGGGGGACAGGAAGCCAGAGTGTATTCATACACGTCTGGCTTTTATCGAGGACAAACAATATTTATATTTTTTATTCGCACATTTGGTAATCACATATGATTACATTACAATACATGTGATTACATTACCAAATCACTAACACAAGTGTTTGAATGATTAAAGTAGGGAAAGTGTGGTTGGAAACTCTCTCCACAAGCCTACAGACTCTCATATGTAACAGCGCCCGCTGAGCGCTCCACCCGCCCTTGAACGCCCTACACGCCCTTGAACGTCTGCACGCCCTACCCGCCCTTGAACGTCTGCACGCCCTACCCGCCCTTGAACGCCCTACACGCCCTTGAACGTCTGCCCGCCCTTGAACGCCAGCAAGCCCTCAAGCAGAAGAACCAGAAGCTGCAGCAAGAGTCCTACAGAACTGGCAAATTAACAGGCTGAAGTAACCAGGTCACCTGTCACTAATAGTTAGCTTCACATTCTTCTCCCGTTGAAATGGAGAAGTTAGACACCTCAGTCTTTCACAATGCTCTGCAAACACTTCTTCCAGAGCACACGAACTGATCCCAGTCAAAGCTGCAAGTGTGCTTGGGTCTTTAAAAGGTTTTAAAAGTCTCTAAAAGATTCTGAATTGCTTAATCTTCGCATTCCGTTACTGATATGTTAAGATCAATATTAAAATTCATTTAAAACTTCAACTCTTCTTTAAATATAAAAAAAATATTCTGATGCGTAAACATGGATTGAATAATATTTAGGTTATGACTTTTTGACCAGACCACACACTAGAAGGTGAAGGGACGACGACGTTTCGGTCCGTCCTGGACCATTCTCAAGTCGAAACGTCGTCGTCCCTTCTAGTGTGTGGTCTTGTCAACATTCTTCAGCCACGTTATTGTGACTCATTGCCTGCATAGGTTATGACTTTTTTAACATATGTAGCGGTACCTTCGGCCAGGAGAGGCGCCGCTGCCATCACCACCAACGCCAGCACCAGGATGAACAGTGGTGGCGCCATCTTCAGGGCCTTGTACACTTCTGTCGATTATGAAATACCACTTAATAAAAAAATAATATTATTATGCAATATTATACCACTTAAGTCACTATTTATCATGCGATAAGGCCTCACAGAGCGTACTACACTGAGTATTGTAAGCCCCTTTTGTGTTTGTTTTGTACAGTATTGTGTATATTTTTTTCCCTATTTTATAGCTTTTTTCTACTTATTTCTGATTCTACAATCAGCTTCTTTTATGCAGTCAAGTATAGACCCAGAACTTAACCTCTTATCCACTATCTATGACAATAATCACTTTAATGATCTAAATTGCAGATATTTTGCAGCACATGATGTAAACAATGTATTAACTCATAATCACAATATCTCTGTAATCAATTTGAACGTTAGATCCCTAGGTAAACACTTCGATGATGTTAGTGCCTTGATTGAAACTATTGGCAACAAATTCTCTTTTATTATACTTACTGAAACATGGTTGAAAGAGGATACTACTCAACTCTTTAACATGCCTAACTACTCAGCAATTCACAACTGTCGTCAACTTCAGAGAGGTGGTGGCACTGCTCTTTACTACCACCAAGAACTAACATGCTTAAAAGAAATTAGAACTAGAGACTGCTATGGGGAGTATATCTTCGCCAGCTTCAGAGTCAAGGGTGCTGAGTCTGTCCTGTCTGTGGGTGCAGTCTATAGAATTCCCAACACTGATGTGTCTGTATTCAACTCAAACCTTAGAAATCTAATACTTGATAACAGACTGAACAAAAACCACCTAATTATCGCAGGGGACTTTAATATTGACCTCTGCGAGCCAGAACACCCTACTGCTGTTAGCTTCCTCAACTGTATGAATTCCTGCCTCCTCATACCCTTAATCACTAGACCTACTAGAATCACTGATAGCACTGCCACGACTCTAGATCACATCTGGACCAACATAACCTCTCCGCTTACTTCAGGTATAATCACCGATAGCACTACAGACCACTACCCCACATTTCTCTTAACTAACATTAGCAAACCACCTCTAGAAACAAGGGAGTTAAGCTTTAGGCTGCACAATGAAACTGCTATAAACAATTTTATAACTGCTGCTGATAATGTCAACTGGGAGTCTGAGTTAGGTAACATAGGGGACATCAACCTAGCAGTGCAATCTTTTCTACAAACAACTCTTAGCCTTTATAACACCCACTGTCCTAGGCTTACAAAACAAGTCACAAGCAAAAGGCTTAACAATCCTTGGCTTACAAAGGGAATACTGAAATCCATTAACAAAAAACACGACCTTGAGAAGAAGTATAGGTTAGGAATTGTCTCCAAAGAATTCTCAAAGAATTACTCATTATTGCTAACTAAGATAATTAGACGAGCCAAAACTAATTACTACGAAGATAAATTTACTCAAATAAAGAGCAACAGTAAACAAACTTGGAGCACAATTTCACAAATATTGGGATCAAAGAAATCTTTAAATAACAAACCGACTCTCCTGTCTAATAACGATGGTCAGCTTTCAGCCTCTGATTCTGCTATTGAGTTCAATAGGTTCTTCTCTTCCATTGGTTCATCCCTTGCAAATGATATTCCATCTTCCAGTACTGACATTAAGGACTATCTTACAGGTAACTATCCACAGTCTCTGTACCTAAAGCCTATAAATTCCACTGACGTCAATGAGATAATCCTTTCCCTTAAAACCAAGTCTAGTGCCCTTGAGGAGATACCAACTTTAATATACAAAAAAGCCTCCAGATCTTTAGCCCCTGCTATTGCTTTGCTCTTCAACAAGTCACTTGAACTCCAAACCTTTCCAGATATTCTAAAAAAAGCGAGAGTAACGCCTGTCCACAAATGTGGTGATCCCACAGATGTTAACAACTACAGACCTATATCAATCCTGCCAAACTTGTCAAAAATTTTTGAAAAACTTATATACAAGCAGCTTTACTCATATCTAGCCAAACTCAATATACTTAGCCCTTGCCAATATGGCTTCAGACCCAAAAAAAGCACTAACGACGCACTCATTAGTATGCTTAACTCGATTCATACAGCCCTTGATAAAAAGGAGCTCCCTGTTGGGTTATTTGTGGACCTGCGTAAAGCTTTTGATACTGTCAACCACCATAACCTTCTTCTTAAATTACATCATTATGGAGTCAGAGGGCACTCCCTACAATACCTCGAGTCCTACCTTACTGACAGGCTCCAATATGTTTCTGTGAATAATACAATTTCTCCCACCCTACCCATCAACATTGGTGTTCCTCAGGGCAGCATACTTGGCCCTCTCCTCTTTCTCATCTACATTAATGACCTTCCAAATGCCTCCCAACACCTCAAACCAATTCTATTTGCTGACGACACAACCTTCATTTACTCCAGTCCTGACCCTCTTGCTCTAAATGCCACAGTAAATACTGAGCTAAATAAAGTCCATCATTGGCTAACTGCCAACAAACTCACCCTTAACATTGACAAAACCTTCTATATTCTGTTTGGCAATAAATCCTCTAGTCTTATAAATCTCAAAATAAACAATACCCAAATTTGTAACAAATTAGATGGCAAATTCCTTGGCATTCTCATTGACAACAAGCTGAATTTCCAGGGACACATTCTAAATATATCAAAAAAAGTTTCAAAAACTGTGGGCATTCTTTCTAAGATCAGATATTATGTACCACGCCCTGCTCTGGTGACTCTCTATTACTCCCTTATCTATCCTTATCTCAACTATGGTATTTGTGCTTGGGGTTCTACTACCCAAAATCACTTACGTCCTCTAATTACCCAACACAAAGCCGCTATTAGAACAATATCCAACTCTGGCCCCAGACATCACTCGGTACCCCTACTCAAATCTCTTAATATGTTAGATATTAAGTCACTGCACATTCTCTCATGTGTATTATACATATATAAAACGCTAAACTATAATGCCAATCCTGATCTTAAAAGCTTCATAGAAGGTTGTAACAGAACCCATGAGCACCACACCAGAAATAAATACAGTTTTGATATTCCTAGAGTACGTCTTAATCAAACTAGAAATGCTCTGCAAATCAAGGGGCCCAGAATGTGGAATGACCTTCCCAACCATGTTAAAGACTGTCCCTCTCTCAACCAGTTTAAGATAAAAACTAAACACTACCTAATAAATTCCCTGTAATCTACCTCACTCCTCTATTGTCAACCCATGTCTGTTATTTTCTTTTTTTTTTTCTTTTTTGTAATCAACACTGTTTGTCAACCTATTGTATTTGTGCTGCTTTTTCAGTCATGTTCCCCCTTTTTTTTTATCTTTATTTGTATTTGTTCTCAACATCTTTTATTCTTTATGCTCAATTAGTATTAAGTTCTAGATATTAATGTTTTTCTTGCCCGAAACGCATTGCGTAATAGTGGCTTTAGGCATTGTATGTACTAGCTCTATCTATATATCAATCCATTAATGTAACATCACTTGTATGTATATACCTTACCTGAATAAACATCTGAATCTGAATCTGAATCTGAGTATTCTTGACACTTTTCCTGTTACTGAGAAGTATTCTTACGGCGTCTAAGAGGGAAGTTGATGGTGAAATCATGTTCACTATTGTCCCAGCATGATATAATGATTCGCACTATAAATATTGTTACCTACATGATACATAATCTCTCTCTCTCTCTCTCTCTCTCTCTCTCTCTCTCTCTCTCTCTCTCTCTCTCTCTCTCTCTCTCTCTCTCTCTCTCTCTCTCTCTCTCTCTCTCTCTCTCTCTCTCTCTCTCTCTCTCTCTCTCTCTCTTTCTCATTCTCTCTCTCTCTCTCTCTCTCTCTTCTCTCTCTCTCTCTCTCTCTCTCTCTCTCTCTCTCTCTCTCTCTCTCTCTCTCTCTCTCTCTCTCTCTCTCTCTCTCTCTCTCTCTCTCTCTCTCTCTCTCTCTCTTTCTCTCTTCTCTCTCTCTCTCTCTCTCTCTCTTTCTCATTCTCTCTCTCTCTCTCTCTCTCTCTCTCTCTCTCTCTCTCTCTCTCTCTCTCTCTCTCTCTCTCTCTCTCTCTCTCTCTCTCTCTCTCTCTCTCTCTCTCTCTCTCTCGCCATGTCTGACGAGAAACTAAAAAGTATTTTAAAATCTGAGTTGCACTTCCGGAACAAAATCGATTACAAATTTATGGGACAATGAGCTATTACTCGAGGAAGAAGACAACATACGTTAGGCACAAGACTACAAATACGAGACAAGGTGATAACTGCATGAGGGATAAACTAACAAGAACATGGAGACACGATAACAACTATATCATGAACAAGATGGCAAGTACAATGTAACAAATACATGAAGGACTTGGTGGGGAGAAATACACAAATGACTAGGTGACAAAAACACGAAACGCCAGGTGCCAATGGCCCATCCCGTCCTTGTGCACGCTACGGTAACCCAACGATACAAATACAGCCTACTATGAAAAGTAAGAGCCCACAGGTATCTACGTTTCCTATGTAGCAGAGTAATAGGTTAGGAAGGTTGCCTGAGTTTCCACATTTCGGGTTAGGAGAAGAGGTTGGATATTATACGTAGTGGTAAATCATGGGATGGGGTTGAATAAGCAGAGGGGGTACATACCCAGACGCGTAGGGTACCACATGCCCTCGCTTCAGTTATGCCAAGAAGTAGAAATACAACCGTATATTTAATAACCTTTAAATATACATATTAAATATTGCAAGGTCTTAATACATAAGCGTGTATTAAAGACTGTATATTGACGGGAGACATCTCCCGTCACGCAGGGTGCAGTCTCACCTCCACAGATCTCCAGTATCAGCTCTTGATACTGGTAATGGCTCAAAAGGGCCACCACTTACGGGCTATTCATGCCCGTGCCATCTTTTGGGTGGCTTAATCTTTATCAATCAACTGTATATTCAGTCTCACCTCAGGTAGGGAGCAAGGAGATGGGTGTAAGACGCTGGACGATGTTGGCGCCGCGTCGGAGGACCTGTGTCTGCCTCAAGGCATCTTCTCCTCGCTTATATACGTCTTGCTCTAGAGGGGCCACAGCCAAGGTCACGGAGGACGTGATATATCTTGATCAACAGAGCTAGAGACCTTGAGACTGGCACTTTGTGTGTCACCAGGGCCGTAAACTGGCACTTTGAGTCGCCAGAGTTGGAGATTGACACTTTGTGTCACCACGGACGGAGACTGGCACTTTATGTGTTATCAGGGCTGAAAACTGATACTTATTGTGCCACCTCCGTGACACTGCATCACGAGGGCTTGAGACTGGCACTTACTCGGTCACCACTTGTTAATGTGATGGTTGTGGGGGCGAGAGTGTGGCCCTCGTCCCAGTCCGCAGCTCCTAATGCCATAAGACGTTAGTGATTATTCCAATCGCAGGAGAACTGTGATGCGCCTCGAGGATTGGAGACACATTTGTGATCTGTCTACATCTTGGGTCCCTGTTTACTCAACCTCGGAAATATGCGCAGTTGTTTACTACGTATTAGGATTTGATATATATATATATATATATATATATATATATATATATATATATATATATATATATATATATATATATATATATATATATATATATATATATAATATATATATATATATATATATATATATATATATATATATATATATATATATATATATATATATATATATATATATATATATATATGAATGAAAACTCACACCCCAGAAGTGACTCGAACCCATACTCCCAGAAGCAACGCAACTGGTAACTACAGGGCGCCTTAATCCGCTTGACCATCACGGCCGTCAAAAGGAAGTGATAGCCGAGGCTATTTGAGCCACTTCCCCGACGGCAACTCGGATGGTAATCTTGGGCATAGCATTTCACCAAATCACCTCATTCTTTGGGGCACACGTGAGGAACACAAATGCAAACAAGCCTGAATGGTCCCCAGGACTATATGCGAATGAAAACTCACACCCCAGAAGTGACTCGAACCCATACTCCCAGAAGCAACGCAACTGGTAACTACAGGGCGCCTTAATCCGCTTGACCATCACGGCCGTCAAAAGGAAGTGATAGCCGAGGCTATTTGAGCCACTTCCCCGACGGCAACTCGGATGGTAATCTTGGGCATAGCATTTCACCAAATCACCTCATTCTTTGGGGCACACGTGAGGAACACAAATGCAAACAAGCCTGAATGGTCCCCAGGACTATATGCGAATGAAAACTCACACCCCAGAAGTGACTCGAACCCATACTCCCAGAAGCAACGCAACTGGTAACTACAGGGCGCCTTAATCCGCTTGACCATCACGGCCGTCAAAAGGAAGTGATAGCCGAGGCTATTTGAGCCACTTCCCCGACGGCAACTCGGATGGTAATCTTGGGCATAGCATTTCACCAAATCACCTCATTCTTTGGGGCACACGTGAGGAACACAAATGCAAACAAGCCTGAATGGTCCCCAGGACTATATGCGAATGAAAACTCACACCCCAGAAGTGACTCATTCAGGCTTGTTTGCATTTGTGTTCCTCACGTGTGCCCCAAAGAATGAGGTGATTTGGTGAAATGCTATGCCCAAGATTACCATCCGAGTTGCCGTCGGGGAAGTGGCTCAAATAGCCTCGGCTATCACTTCCTTTTGACGGCCGTGATGGTCAAGCGGATTAAGGCGCCCTGTAGTTACCAGTTGCGTTGCTTCTGGGAGTATGGGTTCGAGTCACTTCTGGGGTGTGAGTTTTCATTCGCATATAGTCCTGGGGACCATTCAGGCTTGTTTGCATATATATATATATATATATATATATATATATATATATATTGACTATAAATTGCTATTGGGACAATGCTATGTTGTTTGTTCATAATTGCTAACGTTATATGTTATTTAATCTATGCTCTGATCGGAGTCTAAGTGTCATTTATGAACTAACTTGAAGGGGTACCCGGATGTGCCCCAGTCGATCCCAAAAAGGTGTTTTGCATTTATTCTCCAGAATGACTTCATCAGGTCCATGAAGGGAGGCAATGGGGGCTAACCCTGACCACCTGCCAAATGACAGAAAAAACTAATAGTGACCCAGAAAGATTTCGTTGGTTTTGGTGCAGAACCCAAGACTACAGAACCTCCTTTTCCCAATGTATGGCCCTGAACACCGATGTGTGGTTGACCCCAAAATGTTTTGCCATTAAGGTATTAGGAGACCCAGAATGCGAATCTATCAACTAAACGCGATTTTTTGTATAAACTGAAGAAATTATAACACTCTGTGGTCTATGCACATCATATTTCAGTTCCACTGATTTCGGAGTCATGGAGTTCGACCCCGACTCCATTCAAACGGGGTATGGGGGGGCCGACTTTGATCCCATCCCACTATTGACAGCGAAATAAAATCATCGCTATGCTTACAATTTTAGAAATGAGAATTATTTATTAGTTATAACGAATTTTGATATATTTACATTCACGGGCAAGTTTGAATCAAATTAACTTTGAACATAGATAATAATACTAGTGCTTTGATTTGTACAGAACTTTATGTGCCTTTAGAGCAGCTCATTACACAAATTCCTTAATAATATCGTCTCATGATCAGGGAGGTCCTGGTGTGGAGGCCCTGGTGTGGAGGTCCTGGTGTGGAGGCCCTGGTGTGGAGGTCCTGGTGTGGAGGCCCTGGTGTGGAGGTCCTGGTGTGGAGGCCCTGGTGTGGAGGTCCTGGTGTGGAGGCCCTGGTGTGGAGGTCCTGGTGTGGAGGCCCTGGTGTGGAGGTCCTGGTGTGGAGGCCCTGGTGTGGAGGTCCTGGTGTGGAGGTCCTGGTGTGGAGGTCCTGGTGTGGAGGCCCTGGTGTGGAGGTCCTGGTGTGGAGGCCCACTATGGTACACACTCATCACTTTCAAATTACGTCTAAACATATCAAGCGATCCAACGTCTACTACGTTACCCGGTAATTAGTTCCAAAATCTACCATCCCCATTTTCAAATCATTATTTACGCAGGCCTTACATGAATCAAAACTCATCCAATTTATATGCATTGTTTCTTGTTCTATTTAGTGTTGACATATTTAAAGCCTTAGGTATGTAATTCCTGTTGTCGGGGACAGTAAATTTGTGCTTAAGGCATCTGGAAGTCACCCTAGGCACGCCTAGGGGGCGTACCTAGGGGCACGCCCCCTGACGTCTTCAACGTAACCATTCGAGTAGCCATTATTGACTAGGATCTGCCTTACTCTACCTAGTTCCTCGTCGACCTGCTTCCAAACAAAGCTGTGAGTGAGAGCTCGGTCGACGTAGGCGTTGACAACACTCCGCTTGTATCTGTCCGGGGCAGTCACTGTTACCGAACAGTTACGTTGAAGACATCATTAAAATAAAGATGACACGTCATGCAACCCCTGAAGAAGCAACAGCATAACACCCGTACCCGCCTTATCAGACTGTTTTACAGGAACTACTTTTCCACGGGTTAAAAAATGGAGGAAAGAGTCCTGGGGCCGGATTCAGGAAGGTACTTACGAAGGTTTTTCTTCTTAGCTACGAATGTTTTCCTTCTTAGCGCCTTCGTGGAGGCTACGTCGGTATTCAAGTAGCTACACTAAGTGGAAAAACCTTCGTAAGTTCATTCTGGGATCTAAGTGTGGTTTCGACCACTCGTAGCTTTACGTAAACTGGATATAACTCAATTTTTCTCTACTACATAACACTGGGATCGATTTTAAGATTTTGGAACATAAGCAAAAGATTATAAAAATTGAATCTAGTGAAGAGGAGTCCTTCGTGTTAGTTATATATGCATTCTCTGCTTGAAACTTAAAGTAAATATGTCTTTTATGATAGTAGAATTAGTTTTATAATAGCAAGATATTATACCCGTAGTTATTTAGTAAATAAACACTGGTGAACATGAAATATGAGAGAAGGTGATGAGCCCTGCCTGATGGGATCATTTACTATCACCAAATGCCCCTGTTCACCTAGTAGTAAGGGTGTACCTTAGCTATACATACCCATTTCTAATTTATTTAGTTTGGTTTTATTTTTAAATTAAATCTGGGTGAGACATAAAATAAAATATGCTGCACAAATGATGTTAGGTAAGGAGAAGGGTAAAAATGTCAAAAACTTTATTCATTGAATACTTAAAGCTATAATTATGACTATATAGACTATTAAAAAAAAAGAGGGAAGTAGGGGTCCAAGACCTCTTCCTGTTATACAATTTGGGTGTGGAACAAGTAATTATCAAAAGAAGGCACCATGCCGGGAAGGTTATGTAGCAGTAAGGCAGTGAGGTGAGGCAGCTACTTATTTGAGAAATGCTTATTTTATTTACCTTATAAGCTGAGGCAACTTAATTTATTTGAGGAATACTCAGCTGATTCCTCTACATTTAGCATGGAACAAATTTGTGTCCAAGACCTCTTCCTGTTACACAATTTGGCTGTGTGTAACCAAACTAGAAGTGCTCTACAAATCAAGGGACCCAGAATGTGGAATGACCTCCCGAATCATGTCAAAGGCTGTACCTCTCTCAACCAGTTTAAGAGTTAAACCAAGTACTGCCTAATTAACTCCATGTAACCTAACTTACCTCCTAAATGTCAACCCATGTCTTGCTATTTTTTAAACAACGCTGTTCACCAACAGGTGCAATTGCTGATTTATGCTATGTTAACCCCCCTTTTTGTATTTTTTATTCCTTCTTTCAACACAATTTATACCTAATCCCGATTACTATTAAGTTTTAGTCTGTGTTTTTCCCCCACACCTTGCCCGAAATGCTATGAGTATTAGTGGCTTTAGGTATTGTATGTACTAGCTCTGTCTATAAATCCAACATTATGTTTGTAAATCAACTGTATGTACTTTTCCTGAATAAAATGTATTTAGTATTTATTTTTTAACCAGTAAGTATTAAAAGAAGGCACCAAGTTGGGAAGGCTATGTAGCACCATTGTGTTGCACCAGTCAAGTTGTAGG